ACCTTAATCCTCGTTAGAAGCCACTGACATGGCTTTAAGGTGGAGGCAGTAAAGAAAGAAAGGAGAGGACTGTCAGAGTCCTCATAACTCTATGCATGTATGAAATAAAACGGAATAAACACATTCATGTAACTTTCAGATGTACCCCTAGTAAGGGTCATCGTATGTTTAACAGTATTTCTCAAACCTGTTAGTTTATTTCAGACGCTGAGTGAACTCATGGAAATTTGTTAGGAGCCAAATCTGTTACTTCTCACTCTAAAAGGAAAAGAAATATGGCAGATCTACAGTGTCAACTTGAACCACTTTTATTTTAATGAAACATAAATGTGTGCCAGTGTAAAATATGCATAACCTTTTTGTCTCTGTACTTTTGTAAACTATAAAACCAAGGACCTATAAATTAAGTAAAAACTTTAAAAAATCAATCACATTCGAACTAAGGAGAAGACTTGGTTACTCAGATGCCAAATCACCAACGTTGGGACCTTTGTCAGGGGAAAGATACATTTGTGCTTTTCGCTTCAGTTGTGTTTGTCTTGATTGTTGCGATTTTGCATCTGATGGTCCATCACGGCATCTGTGTCATTACCGTGGTCACCATTTCTCCTTCTTAACAAATAGCGTAAATTTCGCCTGCCGATTCATCTCGTTGATGAGCGAATTCATTCAATTGTATCCCTTAAATACAATGTGGACTTAACTGTACCCTGTGATGATCCTGCTGCCACTTTTCTATTGTAAACTATTGTAAAACCTTTGTTCTTAGAATGAATTGTGACATCTTTTACGCTTCTTTAGTATGATTACCTCACTTACCTTCCACACCCATCTATCATATTTTGTTTTCTCCTTAGCCTATGGCAACCTGGAGATATGTTACTTAGCCTCACTTCAGCATTGTCATGATGCAAATTAAGGCTACCGGGGAAAAGTTTGATGTTTTCAATTGGGAAAGAATTGTGCATGAGTGGTAGACAAGGGTCCTTGTATCATCGTATTTACCTCTAAGGCCTTGCCACAGACCTAGGGGCCTGGCCCTGAGGCTTTGAAGTTGATCTCTGATCACTTGGCAGCAACTGTCTTGTAAATGAAAACATGGGAGGCAAAGTCACAGGGCCGTGCTCAGTCAAAAACTGAAGTCGGGAGATTATCTAACATATGCTTTCCTCCCTCCATATCAGCAGTTTTGGTTATCAAAGTGAAAACAACACTTTAATTGGCCCAGAACGCAAGATTTTGTCTGTAGATTTCTGGTAGACAGGAACACCAGTTTGAGAAATGCTGGTCTATAGAATATTGGTCAAATACCCAAGGACAAGAAAGTACTTCCCTTATTTATTTATTTTTTCATTTCTCAGAAAAGATTGGTGACATTTCTGAGTAGAGCTGCTGACTTCTGTCTCGTTCTCAGCCTTGACCTGTTCCCTGGACCAAGGCCTACTTTGTTTCTACCCTGAAAGGCTTTAGGAAGGAGTTGATAGAATGGGAGTGGGCATCAGGCGTAACCAGTGTTCAGCCAGCTGAAAGGAACTTGGTATTTTCCTGTGATCCTAGAGTTGCCCATTGAAAGAGAAATCTCTTTCACGGTGCCTCGAATTCTTTGCGAAAGGGCCAGGGCCTTTTTTTTTTAATTAAAAAATATATTTTATTGATTTTTTACAGAGAGGAAGAGAGAGGGATAGAGAGTTAGAAACATTGATATGAGAGAAACATCGATCAGCTGCCTTCTGCACTCCCCTCCCCCTCCTGGGGATGTGCCCACAACCAACGTACAAGCCCTTGACCGGAATCGAACATGGGACCCTTCAGTCCGCAGGCTGACGCTCTATCCACTGAGCCAACCGGTTTCGGCAAGGGGGTGTGTCTTATGTATTGGATTCCTGGTGTGTGGTACCGCACTTCGCGCATACGAGGCACTCAGAAAATGTATGCTGAGAGGATGGTGGATATTAGTATAAGAAAGTACACAGTGGTCTGATGTACATCAGATGACATGCTCCAGTGTCTTGTTCTCGGAAGCATATGACACATAACTTGTCTCTGTGCTGAGTTAGCTGGTCCCGCAGGGAGCTAGTCTCAGCCTGCCTGGGCTCTGCTGTTGCCTGAAGAGTCAGACGTGTGACCTTCACTGCTAAAGAGTTAATATCTGGAACGTGGTGAACAGTTTCCCACGTGGCACGTTTCCTTGGATGTCTTGGGCTTTTCTTTCCTTACCCCGTCACCCTGGTGATTCAGAACTGTGATCTTTTCCTTATTCACAGGAAACAGACAAGCCACAGTCCAGAGCGTGATAGCCTTGTCACGGCCGCACCCACTCGGGTACCTCCAGGCAGAGAAGTTGGGGGGAGCTCAGCCTGTTTGCTTTTTGATTTTGATCTGTTTGCCTGGTTCACTGTGATGATAGGCTGAGGAGATAAATGGGTTATTTGTTGGAGATAGATTTTGATTCTTCAAGATCAAAGTATAGTGTTACTGGCCCTCAAAGAGTACTTATTTGTTTAGATTATTGCTTATTTTTTTTCTCCAAGATAACTTTTCATCGTTAGCTTTTTTAAACCAACTTTTATATTTCTTATCCCCTCCCCCCCCCAAAAAAAAAATCATTCACCAGATAATGGGCCTTGGTTTTCATCCTGTGCTTTAGACATGTGATTTGAATACTTGGAAGAAATGTTCTGATTGGTTGGAGCCTCCAAATAGCATTAAGAAGAGAGCTGGGCTTTCTTACATACATGTCTGCCATATATATATATATATATATATATATATATATATATATATATATATAGCAGTGAAAGACAGACAAAACTGGCCATACCAAAGGTTAGCTACTTCATATGCTAACATATTCTGTAAAATGGATCTAGCCGGAAGAAGCCAGAAGCTGAGCTGTTTATCTAGCAAGCTGTGTGGCTGAGAGAAATGATTCAGTGATTTTCTGTGATTAGGGATTTTTATTTTTGTCTCAACAATTAAATCTCACCTTCCACCTCATTGCCTTCAGGCCTCTACGTATCTCAAAAGAGAGTTTGGAATTTGGAAATGTAAATTGCAGTGGAATTTTACTGAAATAGTAAACAGGGAAATGAAATGCTCTATAGATAAGAACTAAATATAAATAAACTAGAGGCCCAGTGCATGAAACATGTGCACAGGGGAGGGGGGAGTAAGGGGTGTGGTAGGGGGTGTGTTCCTCAGCCCAGCCTGTATCCTCTACAATCTGGGACCCCTTGAGGGATGTCCAACTGCCCTCTCACAATCCAGGACTGTTGGCTCCCAACAGCTTGCCTGCCTGCCTGATTGCCCCTAACTGCTTCTGCCTGCCAGCTTATTCACTCCTCTGCCAGCCTGATTGATGCCTAACTGCTCCCCTGCCAGTCCAGTTGCCCCTAACTGCCCACCATTGCCGCCCTGGTCACTCCAAACTGCCCTCTCCTGCCAGCCTAGTCTCCCCTAACTGTCCTCCCCTGCAGGTGTGGTTGCCCCCAACTGCCCTCCTGAAGGCCTGGTCACCCCTAACTATCCTCCCCTGCTGGCCTGATCGCCCACAACTGTCCTTCCCTGCAGGCCTGTTCCCCCTCAACTCTTCTCCTGGCCTGATCACCCCCAACTACCCTCCTCTGCTGGCCTGATCACCCAAAACTGCTCTCCCCTGCAAGCCATCTCATTGTAGCCATCTTGTGTCTACATGGGGGCAGCCATCTTTGACCACATGGGGGTGGCCATCTTGTGAGTTGGAGTGATGGTTAATTTGCATATTATATTTTTATTAGATAGATACTTGCATCTATATAATTGCTTAAATACTTGCTATTTCATAGTATGGTATACAGGAATCCAGATACATTGTCGTTAGCCCTGAAAGTAAGACATGCTTATGTTGGCCCAATGTTCCTATCAAATGTAATGCTTTCAGTAACATAATTTATGTTCTTATTTTTTTCCTCTCATTTCATAAAAAGTAATATGGTTTGCTTTGAAATAGCCTGGTGTAAATCAGGGGGTGCAACTAGGAACATTTTTATTAAAATTGTATTAATGTAAAGAATTGGAAATAGTAACATGATTCATGAAACAAACAAAACACCTGATGTTATCACATATGTCTGTAATAGAATGATGGTAGAATAGAGCACATGGTGGTGTTGGATATGAGTTTGTATAAGCGTGTGTGTCGTTACACAGGTAGAGACAGAATCTGCCTCTCCAACTGTAGTAACTGAAAGTGTCTCACATTTTCAATTATTTGAAAGAACTGTCTGCTCTTATATTGAATATGTAATGCATAGATGCTACCTGCTTCCAAGTAAGAATGCGCTCATCACATAATTTACTAAAGATATTCCCTTAGGAATATAAATGACTGTCCTCACACACTCACTATTTGAAATATCAGCGAATCAGCCTGAATGACCTACAGTTGATTAGATTCAAGCCCACAACAGGCCTTAACTCAAAGCAGGGACCGCATTTTCTTGGTTGGATGATGCTACAACCGGTAGTAGGACTTGGGCAGCAAAGTAGCAGGCAATAAAAGAATCTTTCCCAGCATGAGGACTGGGCAATGTGTGACCTCCGTGAGGTTGTCCTTGAAGGCAAGGACCATGTCTGCCTTGGGTGTGTGTTTCTAGGGTGTCACACCCTAACTGCCACCTAACAGGTATCCCCAAAAACTGTGTGACCATCATTGAAAAAAATTGGTGCCAAAACTGGTTTGGCTCAGTGGATAGAGTGTTGGCCTGCGGACTGAGGGGTCCCGGGTTCCATTCCGGTCAAGGGCATGTGCGTTGGTTGTGGGTGCATCCCCGGTGGGGGGTGTGCAGGAGGCAGCTGGTCGATGATTCTCTCTCATTGATGTTTCTAGCTCTCTATCCCTCTCTCTTCCTCTCTGTAAAAAATCAATAAAATATATATTTTTAAAAATTGGTGCTTAAAGCACTGAGTTATGTCTCAGAAATCGACTATATGCATTGTGAGCCATTTCTCTGCTTGAACAGGGAGAAGATCCAATTTATTCGAACGGAAGGGACCCCAGGATTGGTGCGTCTTTCAAGTGATGCAGACCTTGTGATGTTGCTGAGGTAGGTGGCCCTCCTTTTTGAACTGGGAAGGGTCTTGTTATCAGGTATCAGGAGCATTTTAGAAAATAATTTGACAGCACTGGTAGCCTTGACTCTAGAGTTCCTGTGGAATGCCCAGGTTGCAGAGGTGGGTGCTGGTGTCGTGGTCCCTCACTCCGGATTGCCTTTTCCTTTCCCATCAAGGAGCATCTGGTTTTGGGTTTGCCCTGCTGGTGGAGGAGGTGGTGTTAGAGCAGGGGCGGGTCTGTAGAGGCCAATGGAGGGGATGTCCCATTCATAGAATGGAACGGAAGGGTAGATACCGCTTACCCTTCAGCGCTGTAGAGGTCACGTTTGTATCTTCTTTCAGGTTTTGGGTGTGTGTGAAATGGGCTCGGTCCCCTTTGGCTGAGTCAATAGTGTTTATTTACGTTATGGTCTTGAGAGTTTAGGTCTGGGAAATCAGATCAAGTTGAAATTTGGTCCCTGGTACTCACTGTCCACTTGATAGCCCTTCATAAAACCGACCGATTGTGTTTTCTTTGCTGATGGTGAGAGTAGCTTTGGTCTTAAGGTGTAGAGTAGTTTCAAGGGAAAGTAGCCAGGTTTCAAGAGCCCTTTTCATTTTCAGTATTACCCTTCACATGGAGGAGGCCAGAGTAAAACAATGCCTGCTCCCCCCCAGTGGTTGGAACACCCACCAGTGTGGCCTCCGTAGAACTGAAGGGCAGATCATGCTGAGCCACATCAGTCAATATTTTATTTATTCCAAAGGGCTAACAACCTCATGAATGTTATTCATAATGATCTTGATCCAATCAAGATCTAACTGCCTACTTGATAGTTGCCATATTTTAAAAACGAAAGCCAAAATGTTAGTTTACTGGATTTTTGGGGCATAATTCATTGGGATGTAGTCACTTTCCATTAAGATTTCATTTCACTTGATTCTGAACAAGACCTACGGTAGAAGGATTCCTTTTCTGTCAAGAGGGTGAGCCTTGCTTATGGTGTCATGAGCTAGTTCTGAAAACAGGATATACTATGCCAGATAGGAAGATGATTAGTCAATTAATATGGAGTATGGTGTTTCTATGATAGTTTGGTTGGAAATATTTGGATGATCAAATGTGTTTATCATTTTAATAATACAGAGACACAATGTATTACTTGTGGTGCTTAATAAATGATCTTTAATGATCACTGAAACTTTTGGGGGATATCCTTAGTTCTTTATTTTTAATTTTACTTTGGAGTTTGAGTAATTTGAAATAGTGACTGTGAAGTCAAGCAACGGATCTGTTGCTAACAGGGGAAGACTTGGCCTGTTTTTATACGTTGTCTATTTCTTAAAAAGAGATCACTCCTGGTCCAATGGACTTGATTGCCATCAGGCTGCAGTGTGGAGATAGATGGCATGGCTCTGGGAAAGTATTCTATTCAAAAATAAACTTGTGGAAGGCTATTTTCCAATATAGATATCATGAAACCCAAGAGTATTTAAATGACCTTGCTGCATCTGTTATTGATTATTCTGGTTCATATATTCTTTCACTAACAACTTATGTAAAAAATAAACCTGCTAGAGAGTTCATATAGGAAATGATCAATAAAATTGGCTCCATTTGAATTTTAAAGTTTACATAATGAATGATACCACATATAAAGACAGAAAGAAAGGTAACAAACTAGAAGAATATATTCACAACACATAAAAATGATATCATAAGTACATAAAGAATGCATTTCAATCAATTTAAAAGAAAAATGGGTGAAGGCTATCAAAAGACATTTCATAGGAACTCAAGCAACAGTAGCCAGTACAGCATGGAAAGATGCTAGCAGTCATCAAAGGCAGCTTCAAATAATGAGATATTAGTTCACACTGTTCGATTTGAAAAAAAGTGCAAAGCCTGATAATACCAAATAAGAAGTTGGGTCTCTTTTGTTGCCTGGATGTGGTGGGATTGCCATTTCTAGACCCTCTTTAGTATACAGTTCGGCAATGTTATCTATAGTTAAAAAGGCATCTACATTATGACTGAGCAGTTCTCATTTCAGATATGTTACCATAGTTACACTAAGAAACTCTTCTACATACGCCCAACGTGACTTAGACAGGATGTTCACTGAACCATCGCTGATAAAAGCACAAAGTAGGGGAGAAGTGACTATTTGTCAAAGAGATAGGGATAAATAAACTTTTTTCATAGAATGACCTGCTGCATAGCAGGTAAAAATAATAAACTTCATCCTTATATATTAACACAGACAAATCTCAGAATTATATTGCTGAGCAAAATGTCCAAGGATGCAATGCACATATAGCTATTGTAATTCTTAGCAGTGCTTTAGGCAAAGCTAAATATATATATTTATCTATGCCTATGTGTTGCAAAATATAAAACTATGGGATACCTATTAAGGTCATGAAAGTGGGGAACAAAAGCTACTGCATATGTATACTTGCACACATGTATACTTGCAAACACTCATACATATACACAGATCTACACGTATGCATGCATGTTTGTCTGAAGTAAAAATAAAACAGGTGTAGATGTCTGAGGAGAGGGTGCTGATCCCCACTTTACAATTAATTTAGCTAGGACTTTGTGATAGCAAGCATTACATGGGACTTCTTACTAGGGATTCACTTTAAAATCACATTATTCCAAGGACTACTGAGTTACTAAAGAAGAGAAATGACCGTTTCAGGGCCTAATTATGTATTAAACATGTGATTCCTTACCGCTTCTGTTTCCAAATCTCCTGACCTCTATAGTTTAAAAGTGGAAAGATGGTTCTGAAATGCATCCTGTCTAAAAGTGCCTTTGCTACCTACCACGGTCAGTCTCGCAGGCATGAGCATGTGGATGAAGAGGGACAGAAAGGCCATGGAGTTGTCATTGCACTGCTGCCACCCCGGGCTTCCCAGCCTCGGCCGCGTGGCCGCTGTGGCTGGATGTGCCTGTGTGGCAGGGAGCCGGTCTGTGCATTGCGAGATGCTCGCCAGCATCCTGGCCTCTACCCACCAGATAGCAGAAGCACCCCTCCCCCAGTTATGGCACCCAAAACTGTCCTCCTCATCACTCACTCCGCATCCTCGGATGGTGTGGAGGAAGGGCAGCTTAGCGGAGCTCAGAAGCAGGGCCTTGGGAGGCCCTTCTGAAAAACCCCGACCAGGTGAAACTCTCCCACTTTTTCTGAATGTCTTCTGAAAACAAGGAGCCGGTTTTAGACTTGGCTGAGTGTAAAGCAAACCTATGTCCACCTCTGAATTAAAAAACCCCCACTGGTTGTTTTCATTCTATTTTAAGTGTTTGTTTGAGTTAGTGCAATCTATACTGCATCTCCTTTCCATGATAAGTATGATGTGGGATTCCAGGAGAGCAGGCATCTGCTGGCTGCCTGTTAGAAGACCAGGGGGGACAGCAGATACGGGGTTGGGGCATCGAACCTCAGAACTCTCATCTTTGAAAACCATGAGAAAGCCAGGCTCAGCGAGGGGGCTGACTACTTAAGAACCATGGTGTTTTCTTTCGCTTTTAACGCTCCTTTTAAGCCCTGCGCTCCGAAGGCTGAGGCCCTGCCTGTCCCTCAGAGGAAGCTGTGAAACATGCTTTGTGTGTCCTCGAGGGGCTCTCTACAGATGTCTGCTGTGTTGGGATCTTATTCCCAAATATGACCCCCTAGGTGCTCTTGCACACAAACATGTGAACGCAAACTCGCACATTTAAAGTGGCAAACAGAACCGGCACTGTCTGGAGTCGGTAGGAACCCAGACCAGTGACCACAGGGTTCTCCGAAGTGGCCACAGCTGCCAGCCTGGGCGGGGACTGGCCAGCAGGCAGGGGGACAGCGCTCCGGCGGTCGGGGCCGAGGCCTCCGGTGGGACGGGCCAGGAGGAGAGAGCAGCTGTCTCAGCGCGGAAACCAGGCGTGTCCCCACCTCGTTGGCTAAAGTGCGCATTCTGTTTTTTGTCTCTCCCCAGTTTATTTGAAGAAGAGATAATGTCTTATGTGCCTCCGCATGCCTTACTCCACCCCAGCTACTGTCAGTCCCCGCGCGGCTCCCCCGTGTCCTCTCCCCAGAACTCGCCAGGTGAGTCCGCCTGCGGCTCCCGGGACCTCCGAGGAGCGAGCCCCAGGTCAGAGGTTCTGTTCTGCACCAGGGCCGGTGCGGGGCAATGCGGGGGCATCTTCAGGGCTAGCCCAGGGGCATGCCCTCTGGCCGGCTCTGTCCTCTGCCACTGGCCTGTTCCCCGGGGGAATTCATGCTGATAGGAGGTAATAGAGAATAGAGAGGTCAAGGTTCGCCGTGTGACCTCGTCAGACACAGAACTTACTCTTCATTCTGCAGGGCCTGATGTGCCTCGGCAAATGTTAGGGCACGGACTATTATGCTAGATTTTTGGATTTTAAGAGGTTTTAGTTAGGAGGCTGATTCAAGGAATAATAAAAAGAAATCCCTACTTTGAAGAATCAATAGAGAACTGAAAGTGGTCAGCCTCAAAGACTTGGAGAGTTTTCCCTTCAGAAGTCATGACCGGCGCTGGATGGGACCACGAAGGACGCGGGGGCAGACGAGTGTGTGATAGATGAACAAACGAAAATGTTTATGTTCAAATTCCTTTTGAAGGAGGTATGTTGTGAATGAAGGGGTGAATGGATGAATGAAGGGGTGAATGGGTAGATGAACGAATGAACGAACGAACGAACGAATGAATGAATGAATAAATGAATGGTAGAAAAGGCAGCTCAGCAAGTGAGTGCTTTTAAAGGAGGGTAACCGTGATGCTGTAAATCAGCTCTCTTGTCCTCATTATAGGCAATGCATTGTTCACACTTTAACAGCTTTCGGGATTTAAAACGATGCTCCTGGGAATCCAGACTCCACATGTTTTGTGAAGCGCTGCTCTGTGTTCATTGATATGTAACATGTGTTTTCACATATTGTTGTGATAATGAAGCTCCAGCCGGCTTGCACGCCACACACCGGAAAGGGTTTATTGAGCATCCTCTGTGATCGAAGCTCTGGTGCTGAGAAGATGAGTAAGGCACTCCCTGCCTTTGAAGGGCTCATGGTGCGCCAGTGAGTCAGCACAGGACTCTGTAAAGCTCTGTGGTCCGTCCTGTGTGGAAGAATGTGTGGGAACAGATGTGGGAACACGTCTTCCCTGAAGACCAGGGGTGGGGTGTTTGGGGAAAGATGAAGAGACCAGGTACGAAGGGGAACCCTGAAGAATGAGGAGAGGGGTTTCCCAGGGAGACCGAAGGAAGACGGACCTTCATGGCACCAAAGTAGGGTCCCAGTTTAGGGCACAGGGAAGGCAAGTTCCCAGTGCTCAGGCTAGAAAGACGGACTAGGGCCTGTTGGTCATCGATGCCTTACCTTGTATAGTCCATGGGGAGCCCCTAAAAGTGCATAAACAGGAGCACCCTGTTTTACCAAGACCAAGTGCGGTGGGGGTACAGAGGATGGATTAGAAAATGAGAGACTAGAACCAGAGAAACTATTTGGGAGGCTGTTGTGTCAACGCAGGGGACATGCAGAAGAGCTGGACTCCTGACGCTAGAGAAAAGGGAATGAATTCGAAAGACGTGAGACACCAGGACTCTATGAGTTCCGGTAAGGAAGGTTCCGAGGTCCTCACCACCTAGGTTGCTAGGCAGACCGTAACCCCATTTACCAAGAAAGGAAAAGGGTTAGACTGGAGGGGAGAGGGAAGTGAGTTTGGTTTGGACCCGTCTCCTGAGGAATCTTCGGAGATATCCAGGCACAGCTGGAAAAGACTGTCGTGGAGCTCCGGAGAAGCGGTGGCTGGGCCCAGCTGGGCCCAGGATGAGAGGAGAGGAACGAGGGAAGACATGTCTTTGAACAGAAGGGAGAAGAGAGACGGTCCCTTGGGAAACCCCAGTATTTCAGTGATGGGCGGGGAGAGAGGGTGCAGGAGAGGGAGCCGGTGGAGTTTGGAACAGAATTAGGAAAGACCTTTCAGGGAAGCCAGGTTTCAGGGAGGAGGGAGCGGTTAGCAGGACCACATTTTCAAAGGTGTCGTGAGGGATGAGGTCCGGGAAGAGGCCATGACATGTGGAATTGATGAAATTGGGTATGGCCTTTGCCAGGGCAGTTTCCATGAAACAATAGGTCACCGACTGGAATGGGACCGGCGACAGCATGATAGAGGACATCAGGTAGAAGCCGGTGGATAGAAGATTGTTTTCAGAAAGCGTGAAAGGAATGAAAACCAGGACTGTTACCTGGAAGAAGAGGCGTTGAAGAGGGGATTTCGGAGGGGGAGGCTGAGCGTCTGTGTGTCTGGCACACAGAGGTCAGACGATGTGGGTGGGAAGAGAGTGGCCCCTCGAACGGGGCAGAGCAGCAGGCGGCACAGCCCAGGCCAGGGGTCAGCTTGGGAACAGAGTAGGGACACCAGCCTGGACGCTACGGATGGAAAGACAGCGTAGATGACACTGCAGGTAAGTTCCAGTGTCACACAGACGTTGGATGCCTACATCCAGGGGGGAAGGTCTATCAATCACAGCTGGCCTTCGTCTTTGTGTGTGACACCCGGATCCACTCTTCCCTGACCTTGAATTTCTGTAGAGTGGGAATAACAGTGGTCGAGGCCCTGGTTATATGGAGGAAACCTTGCTGGACAACACCAACACCAGCATCCAGTACCTATTCATTTATTCCCTTTTTGGAAATAGGATTCTGAGAAGTAGCCTTTGCCAATATTTGAACCGTTAATAGCTGCAACCGACCAACCCATTTCTCCTCGACTCTCAGGGCCGGCTGACTAGCTAGTTAATCATCCCGACGGGTCTTGATCGGGGCTGGAGCCCGGGGTGACGCTCAGGTGGGCTGTGTCTCACCCGGTGCTACCGGTTAAAGAAATGAAGCCCTGTGGCTGTCACTGATTCCAGCCAGTGTTCTCCTCCCAGGCCTCTGCTGAGGCGCCCTTCCTGAGAAAAGACAGATCTCAGGGTGTCGCCTTGAGGGCCCCCCCGACCTCCTCCATCAAGCACAGGCAGGGAGACTGGCTCGCGCGAACATGCGACGTGATGCCGAGATCACTTCATCTCATCTCCCATCACGTGAGGAGGCCCTGGTGGAAGGAACGTGCCTCCTGGAGGCCCGTGTGGGGTTGTGTTCCAGAGACAAGGAGGGCCAGGCACACCGCCCGCGCCGGCCGTGCTGGTGGTGGCGGTGATTTCCAGGGAGAACGTCCCCCTGCCTCGGGCCCACCGGGGTTCAGCGGGGTGGTTTGTGGGGTCACTAACTGATTCCACGTGACCCCCCCCTCCCGGTGGTGGTGGTGGTGGGGCTCCCTGGCTGATGTCCTCCTGTTCTCCAAGTGGAAGAGTCTCTCTGTCTACCAGTGTTTCTCAATGTTCTCAGGAAAGCACTGGGAAGGGGTTCTGAGATGCGTCTGGTCCTCCCTGAGACTGGAATGCCAGCCCCCGAGGGCGTGGGCGTGATGTTGCGATCATACATGACGGCGATCGTATGTGCTGATGGTCTCCTCGGAGCGCCCAGGCCCGGGCAGTGGTCCACGTGTCCTCACCCGAGCGCAGGGCAGCCTGTGGCTGCTCTTTAGCCGGGAGAGGGCCGCTGACGGCCATCCCCGTTTGGAGCGGGAAGCTCTGCTTTCCTAGGACCTTAGGTGCCAGGCCGGCCTTAGCGCCCTTCCCCCAAGACAGAGCCCTTCCAAGCACCCTGTGGTTTGGCAGATTCAGGGCCTCGGGTGGCTGCACGTGTCTCGGAATGTAGATGCAGTGAATCCCTCGTGTAACAAGACCTGCGGGAGGGAGGTGTGCACACTCCTGCAGGCGTATGTCCTTGTCCCCTGAGCTCTGAGTGCACCCGGGACTGGGCGGTTTGAGGGACCGTCGCACGGCGCTGGTAGCCCTTGGCCAGTCCTGGGCCATCTGGACAAGACAGCAGCCCAGGTCACAGGCAGCCCAGATAACAGGTGACCAGAGAGCACTGAGGAGCCCCGTGGGTCTCCCTGGGGCTCATCCTGAGGGCATGGGGGAGGAGAGGGAACACTCCCCCCCAACTCTCCCCCCCCCTCCCCGCCCCCACACACAGGAACTGGATTCTCTTGGCCTCTCACCGTAGCTGCTGCTCATCTCCTCGCCTGTTCTTCCCTTAGACATCCTCCCTGTCTCTCCCTCCTTTCCTCTCCAATCCCCTCTTCCTCCCCCCATCACTCCACCCTCCCTGGAGTCTCTCTGCACTTGTTCTAGAAATGGGGTTCCACCCCTTCTCTTTACTCTGACCCCCCCTCCTCCAATGTGATCTGGGAATCATGACGGAACTGTGGTGTCCCTTGTGAGAGTTGGGAGGCTGAGTGTGTCTCTGTCGCAGCTAAGAGGTGGTGGCTGCTGCTCGTCTCCCTGTCCCCGCCCCAGTGCCCTCCGGGTGCCCGTCACTGGCATGCCCTTTGCTCTCCCTTTTAATCCACCCCAGTCTGGATTAAAGGGTTTTTAAAAAGAAACCCAAGTAGTATGTAAATGAGCCAGCTCAAAACAATGACCCGAAGGCCTGTTCCTCTTAGGGGAAAAAGCACAAATGTGAAGACAGACTGCTGTGGCTGCACTGCCCGCCAGCTAGTCTGAAGGTGTGAGTGTGAGTGTGTGAGAGTGTGTGTGTGTGTGAGTGTGTGTGTGTGTGAGTGTGAGTGTGTGTGAGTGTGTGAGAGTGTGTGTGTGTGTGTGTGTGAGTGAGTGTGAGTGTGTGTGAGAGTGTGTGTGTGTGTGTGTGAGTGTGTGTGTGTGTGTGTGTGTGAGTGAGTGTGAGTGTGTGTGAGTGTGTGAGAATGTGTGAGAGTGTATGTGTGTGTGTGTGTGTGAGTGTGTGTGAGTGAGTGTGTGAGCGTGTGTGTGTGTGTGTGTGTGTGTGAGTGTGAGTGAGTATGGTGTGTGTGTGTGGGGAGGGGGGGTTCCCTGTTAATTTTCATTGCTGAGCTGTGTTCCAGAAGGTGGAGTCGTCCAGAAGTTACTGCCTGGGCTTGATAATCTGTCCTCATTCACTGGCAGAATGTTTGGAACTGTCATAGAGATTTTTTTTAGGAAGTGAACCAGGGTAGACATGAGCTCGGCCTGGGACCAGGAGGGACTAGGCTGAGCTCGCTCCCCTTCCAGGGCCGCCAGTCCCCGAGGCAGCCTGTGTTCCTGGGGGCACATCCCGATAACCAAAGGGACCCAGGCTTCTTCGAAGCTCTATGCAAAGATTTTTCTAGTACCTCCTCCTGGTTTCCTCAGGCAGAATGCCTGGTTGGTGTGCGATGAGGCCGTTCTGTAACAGGACGTAGAAACAGGATGGCACTGTGTGGAAGGACTTGAGGTCAAGAAAAAAAACACCCTAATGTCCCTCACTGACATCTTTTCCTGCGAATAAGGAACGTGGAGCTGACTACCCTACGCAGTCACCCTTCATGGAGTCGCTTCCTCAAGGTGACATCCACCTTTCTGAGTCTGACTTCCTTCCCCAAATCCGTGAGGACCGTGAGCTCGCTCTGGCTGGCGCCGTAGGGCCCAGAGCCACCCTGGGAGCTGTGTGCACAGGGCTGCAGCCTCTGCCTCCAGCAAGATCGTATTTCTTTCCAGAGCCGGCGTCCCGTCGCTCCTGCCCTGGAATTTCTTGGCATTGCACCTGACGTGCATTAGGAGTCTGGCAAGGGCCAGCGGCCTAATTCCCTGTCATTTCTAAGCCGTGAAGTCATGGGTAAATGGCTTTTTCATGATAGAACTATTAGCAGAAGCATTTTTTTTTTTCCTTTAACGATGTCTGTCCCAGAGTCTCTGAAATCGAGTCACTTGAGCTGAGCATCAGTGGAGTCAGAGCTCAGGTTTACTGAGCCCGTGCTGATACTGATGAATGCATTATGGGGTCCCCCCATCCTGTTACGTAAGCATCTCAGACCACGCAGCGGCAGCCTAGGATGCGCGGTTGTGTTTCTGTTTAAGCAACGAGCTCCCGCAGAAGCACCTTTCTTGGGAGCCTGGGCGATGTGCGTGGATTGCTGTGCCTTCCTTTCCTCCTCCCTGCCCATGGTCATGCTCACGGTCACTGGCTCCGGAGTCCACTCCCAGCTGTCGGGGTGTGCTGGTCGGCCTTTCTTTCTAGTAGACGGCAGCACTGACAGCCCCGTGCTGCTCCCCTGAGTGGATGTAGGGCGCGCTGCCCTGTCCCTGGGCGTCCAGGAGTGTCGGTCGCTGGATGCGATGCTGCCCAGGTGTTTTGTGGGTATTTTGTCCCCGGGGGAGGGTGTGTGTGGTGGGTAATGGTTCTCACGCTTGGCTGCCCTCTGGAGTGGGTGGAGAGCCTGTAAAACACTAGCTAGGCCACACCCCCAGAGTCTGACAGCATGCCTCTGGGGTGTGGCCTGGCCAGGGAAGGTTTAGTTTCCCAGGTGGTGCTGACCTGCAGCCGAGCTGTCATGCCCCTTCTGCATCCCAGACACTCAGGTCCCTTTATTGGTTTGCTTTGCGACACGGTGCTGAGCTCTGTGGGTGGAAGAGTCATCGCTCTGCAGACAGACGTCTAGGCACATTGGTGATCAGTAACCGAGTGACCGAACCCGTCCCTGTGCGGCCCGCACCCTCTGTGCCAGCTCCATGCAGACAGCTGCCATCGGGCTGAGATGGGCTGCACAGGCCGGGCGTGTTCCCTCCTTCCCCTCCCCGTTCCATCCGAAGTGAGGCCCCTGCTTGCTCGGGTGTCGCTTCTGTACATGCACCTGCCCAGCCGGCATCTCCAGATCCGCACGGATAGAGCTCCCCTCTCCCCGTCCACCGCCTCCCTCCCCACACCCACCCACCATCCTCCCTCCCCACACCCTGTCCACTCATGCCTTCATCCCCCTGTTGTCTGTGTCCACTGGTTAGGCTTATATGCATGCACACAAGTCCTTTGGTTGATCTCTCCCCCTCACCCCCACCCTCCCCTACCTTCCCTCTGAGGTTTGACAGTCAGATCAATGCTTCTCTGTCTCTGGGTCTGTTTTTGTTTATCAATTCATGTTGTTCATTATATTCCATAAGTGAGTGAGATCATGTCATCTCTCTGACTGGCTTATTTTGCTTAGCATAATGCTCTCCAGTTCCATCTAAATGGTAAGAATTCCTTCTTTTTTACCGCAGCGTAGCATTCCATTGTGCTTGGCATGTTTTATTGCTGGTTTCCCAGCCAGGGTGCCCACTTAAGGAACCCTGTCTGACTCATTCTGAGCATCCCTTTCTGAATCCAACATGGTATTAGCAATGAATGACCACCACGGAGCTGATTCACTCACGAATAAATATTTAATGAGCTTACCAGGACTTCAGCAAGCCTGTTCTCTGGTTTCTCTCATTGCGTTGTGAAATCTTTGGTGGAAATTTCCAGTGTTCTTGTCAGGGCCCTGACTCCCATTTTCATCACCAATTCTGTATCCCGGCCAGTTGGTTAGACACCTTATGACCCAAAGGCAGATTTTTCTATGGAAAGAGGAACTATTACTTCTACATTTTATTAATGATACTTGTCATATGATGAGATATTTAAAAAAAAATCTTTAGACAATCTATAGATAATCACAGTACTTGACACCTATTAAGAGAAGCAGGGACCGTGTAGAGGTGGGCAAAAGTGGGGGGAATCAGGGGACCTCTGTAACACTGTCAACAATAAAAGAAAAAAAAATGCATTCACCGTTGTTATGCGAAAAAAAGAACGCAACAAATGGCAGTCTTGTTTACTCTGCACAACCAGGAGACGTGCCTTCTGCAGTTACGTCTGAATTCTGTTTTGACATCCAGATTATTCTACCCCGTGACATAAAACGCATGCAGTTATGTGTCTAGACCAGTGTTCAGCAAACTCATTAGTCAACAGAGCCAAATACCAACAGTACAACCATTGAAATTCCTTTGGAGAGCCAAATTTTTTAAACCTAAACTTCTTCTAACGCCACTTCTTCAAAATAGACTCGCCCAGGCTGTGGTATTTTGTGGAAGAGGCCAAAGAGCCGCATGTGGCTTGCGAGCCACAGTTTGCTGACCACTGGCCTAGGGCAATTCCAAAATTAATTTCACAGGTTTTCCATGGAGTAAAGAATGGAAACTCACTGCTCTTGCTTTAGCCACCGCATACTTCTCTCATTATAACTTCCTGTCTAATTGGCATGATGTCACCTCATCCTGCAACCAGAGAGATCCCGCCCTCCAGTCCGCACTGGGCACGAGTGATCCTGCTTGGCTCGCAGCAGTTTGGGCTGAAAGGGGGGACTTCTTTGACGAACACATGGCACCACCATAACTACCCAATCAGCTTCGTTCTTTGTGACCAAACTGCCACCAAGAGAAGCAGGGGCTGTGTGGAGGTGGGCAAAGTGGGGGTGGGAGGGGAGGCGGGGCAGGAGGGACATCTATAATATAACAGCATCAACAATGAGAGAAGCCGATGCATTCTCATGGTTCTGCAGAACAAGTGTCAGTGCCGTTGCGTGTGCTCTGTGCAGCCGTTAGCCTGGAGCGGGGGGAGCCGCAGGAACGGGACGTGTGGGTGGCCCCTGGCCCATGTTCTCTCCGGTCCCAGATCTGGTGATAGGTGTTCATGGTGACATGGTGCATGCCGGGACATTGTGCCAAGCCAACCCTCCCTCTCTGTGGTTTACTGTAGGTACACAGCGTGCCAATGCCCGGGCACCAGCCCCTTACAAGCGAGACTTTGAAGCCAAGCTGAGGAACTTTTACAGGAAGTTGGAGACGAAAGGATACGGACAAGGCCCAGGGAAGTTAAAGTAAGTCAGAGCGAAACCAGCACAGGGCCTGCGGGTGGTGAGAGGATGGGGTGCAGCCGGTCGTGATTCGGGGAAGACACGCACCTCAGTTTGAGTCGGCGTAATTACTTTGGTGTCTGCGCATGGCAGCACCATACAAAACACAGTTCTGGCATTGAACACGATTCAGCTTAAGGTTTTAAAGGAAACAGCAAAGAAACGGCCACATTCCATGCAGAAAATGTTAAGGAAAAGTGCAAGCTGCCCAGCCATTGAGCATCGACCTGTGAACCAGGAGGTCACAGTTCAGTTCCCAGGGGCACAGGTCTGGGGTGCAGGCTCGATCCCCGGTGTGGGGGGCCTGCAGGAGGCAGCTCATCAATGATTCTCTCTCATCATTGACGATTCTCTCTCTCTCTCTCTCTCCCCCCCCATTTTTTCTGACATCAATAAAACTATATATTTTTTAAAAATAATAAAAATGACAAGCTGGTTTACTTATTCTCCTGAAAAGGACTTCTGCTGGCTTAGTGTGGCCTCATTGGCTCTGAAGCTGTCGCCAGGTCCTGCGGGCACCATGCCCAGCCTCGTCGTGCTGTGAACTAAATATTGCTTGTCCTTGGCACCCATCATGAACGTTGTTTCTGCCCGTCTCCCTTCACCTCCATTTACGTGGGGAGATGGAAGCGGCCGCATGACATGGGGGCAGAACGGTGCTCATTCTCTTTGTGCCTCTGCCGCCCTCATCCCCCATTCCCCTACCCCTCATCCCCCCTCCATCCTGAGCCAGGGCTCCCTGAGGGCAGGTACCCCCTGAGAGAGGACACAGGAGGAAGGGTTGCTACTGCAGTCCCACCGAGGGCCCAGGGGACAGCCCACAGCCTGTGGCTTGCCACCCCCTCCCCTCCGCCCCCGAGGACTCACTGGGTTAAGTTAGCCGGTCCCCTTCGCTCGCCTCAGAAAACACCAGCCGTCCAGCACCAGTCCTCTCAGCCTTCCCTCCTACGTCTCTGACAGAGCTCTTAAACTTTCAGCCCCTGGCCTCCACGTTACCTCCCTTTCCATGGCTGTTGCCACTAAAGGCAAATGGGTGTGTGCTCAGGGATGACCTTAGGACAAGTGGATTCATGGGCACATGTATCAGTCATCTATATCTGCCACTTAGGGAGTCTCGAGATTCTCCTAATTTAAAAATTAAGTCAAGCCCTAACCGGTTTGACTCAGTGGAGAGAGCATTGGCCTACAAACTCAAGGGTCCCAGGTTCTATTCCGATCAAGGGCATGTACCTTGGTTGTGGGCACATCCCCAGTGGGAGAGGTGCAGGAGGCAGATGATCGATGTTTCTCTCTCATCAATGTTTCTAACTCCATCCCTCTCCCTTACTCTCTGTAAAATAATTAAAATATATATCTTTTTAAAAATTAAGTCAAGCACAGTGGTAAACCCCTCTGCGTTGGAGGACACCAGGAATTTTTTTCCTATTGTTCTCATGGTCAACTCTCTAGGCCAGTGGTCGGCAAACTGCAGCTTGCGAGCCACATGCTGCTCTTTGGCCCCTTGAGTGTGGCTCTTCCACAAAATACCACACGGCCTGGGCGAGTCTATTTTGAAGAAGTGGCATTAGAAGAAGTTTGGGTTTAAAAACTTTGGCTCTCAAAAGAAATTGCAATGGTTGTCCTGTTGATATTTGGCTCTGTGGGCTAATGAGTTTGCCGACCACTGCTCTAGGCACTTAGTTCCTCAGTTGCTTGTCTAAGGGTACTGGGGCTCCAACCATGACCTCCTAGGGCTGTCCTTTCTCTACTCACACAGGGCTGTGCCTGTGCTGCTGCCCATTGTCCTGGACAGATGGACTTGGCCCTCAGAGGGCCTCGGGGTTCGCACATCATAGGTGGGGTGCCCCCTTTTCTCAACGCATCTCTGATGCAGCCGTGGCTAATGCTGCTGAGAGTTGAAGGCAGACGTGGCATTGGTGGCAGAGAGCAATGGTATGAAGTCACTCCTTTTGGCCTCGTTAGTTATGGCAAGTGCCCAGTCCTGGAAAGATAAGGATTAGGCAATAACCTTTTCATTTTTATTTTTTCAAATTGCCTCCTTATGGACAGGTTAATCATCAGAAGAGATCACTTACTCGAAGATGCTTTTAATCAGATCATGGGCTACTCCCGAAAAGATCTGCAGAGGAACAAGCTGTACGTCACCTTCGTCGGGGAGGAAGGGTGAGTGGCCCGGAGAAGCGGCCCGGGGATCGCAGCTGGGCTGCAGGGCGGTGTCTCGCCACATCCTCCTGTGGTCGCCTGAAACAGGAAACCCTTCTGGCAGGAAATGCCGCTCTCATACCCTGAAATCTCTTGGCTGTTTTTTTTTTAAAAGGCCTTCTCTGGTTTTTAACTTATTTGGCATAGAAATCCTTTGGTAAAAACATGTAACTACTGAGCGTTTTTGAGAGCAGCGTTTGGTTTGGTCTCTTCTCTAGTTCTTTCTAAAAGGGAAGAGTGGGCATTGAGGGGTTCAACACACCAAGGAATTGCTTTCGGCATCTGTGCTCCCATCCCCTGCCCTGGTGCCAAGCAGAATGTGCTTCGCCTGGTAAACAAATTCCGTTTCAGCATCACGCATTGGAATTCTGCTCCTCTACCCAGAAGCCTGTGCAGCAGTCACTGTTGGATCTTGGTTCTTGCTGTGCTCTCCTTTGAGAGGGCAGCACACCTACAGAAAGGGCTGCCTGCCATAAACTAAGGTCTCCCACCTTCCATGACTCCTGCCTGAGTGTGCACATGTAGATAGATGAAGTCAGGGAACGAGGAGCGAAGACTTGCAGTCTTATTGCATCCGGATAGTCGTGGCAGCTGTTACATGGCACATGGGAGATGGCAGCTCTCCTGTCTCCCAGGCCCCTTCTGCTTTCCCCATTTCAAAGCCGGGTTCGAGTTTCAGCACCTCCAATGCAACCCAGGCATCACTAGAGTGAAGTAAACAGAACCCTGCACCATTGCCTGAACTCTGCTTGTCTTCTCCTTGATTGTATTGATTGGGATTATTTCCCTCTCAGTCATGCCCAGGAATAAACTGTGTCAGATTATGGAATCATAGTAGTAATGTCCAACAAATTAAACCGTCCAGTGTATATGGTTCATGCAATGGAGGCTCCAATGTATAAAATAACTGCATGTGCCAGTGGAACCAGGTTATAGCAAAACAGATTCACAACCAGTTCTTAGTTCTTCATTCAGTCCTCTTGGCCCAGCACTGGGTTGTAGGCAGAACTCATGCACCTGGTCTGCCTGAATGTTTTTCCTAGCCATGGATCTTCTCACTATTTCAACTGGTGCCTGGTAACTTCCGCTGTTTGCATGCATTGTCGTGTCGTCTCTCAGCTGAGACTTGATGAAAGTGAAACCTTATATGGGAAAAGAGCATAATGTGACCAAGTTGCACAGAAGCTGCCTGGGACCTGAGCCCTTCATCCTTGACATGCCCCCATGGGTTTCTCACATATGTTTGTTGGCTTAAAGGTGCAGGTGCACAGTTAAAAATGAAGACACATGTTTTTAGCCTAATCACAGGTATGCATGGGATGCCAGGTATTTCCTGACGGAGTCAGCCTGGTTTGAATGAGAATGCTTTTCCTCCCCCGGAGCGCCAGCTGCCTTCCTGCATGGTTGAGATCTCAGAGATGCAAGGGAAGAGTCTTTGGGAGCCCGGGAACTTACGTCTGAATGGAACAGGTGTTTGTGATGTTTGGTCATCCTCATGCAGTCTCCCTGGGATGACATCTGTTCCTGGGAGGAGGCCCAGGCTGAGTGGGGTTTGATAACTCTGTGTTTGTGGCAATCAAATGGTTCCTGCTTCTATCACCTGTCTTCCACCTAGAACCCCAGAGGGAAAATAAGAGGATATATTGAGATGTGAATTTCAGTTATCAGAAACAACCCCTTAACTTTATCATTGCCACAATGGCACAAACAACAGTGAATGATAGGACATCGTCCCGTGTGGGGACAGGAAATGTGGAAGGATATATGGGAAGCAGGGACTTCCAAAGAGGCAACAATATACCATTCAAATGGCCAAAGATGCAAAAGACCCGTAATCAGAAAATTATAAGACACTGAAGAAAGATAATTGAAGAAGATACAAGTAAGTGGGAGCATATACCATGTTCATGGATAGGAATAATTAACATAATGAAATGGCCATACTACCCAAACCATTTCTTATGAAGATACCAATGATGTATTTCATGGACCTAGAATGTTCCAAAAATTAATATGGAACCCCAAAAGACCTGAATAGCCATAGCAATCTTCAGAAAGAACCTAGTTGATGCACTAGCTGGTTTGGCTTAGTGGATAGAGTGTCACCCTGTGGACTGAAGGGTCCCAGGTTTGATTCCGGTCAAGGGCACATGCCCAGGTTTTGGGCTTGATCTTCAGTGGGAGGAATGCAGGAGGCAGCCGATCAATGATACTCTCTCATCATTGATGTTTCTATCTTTCTCTACCTCTCCTTTCCTATCTGAAATCAATAGAAAGAATGTTAAAAAAAAAAAAGAACACAGTTGGAGGTAATCATACTATGAATATCAAACTCTACTACAAGGCCATAGTAATCAAAATAGCCTGGTACTGGCATAAACATAGATATATAGGTCAATAGAGCAAAATAGAGAGTCCAGAAGTAAACTCACATCTTTATGATCAATTAATTATTAACAAAGGAGGCAAAAACATACAATGAAGTATGGTCTATTCAATAAACGGTATTGGGAAAATTGGATAGAATCGTGCAAAACAATGAAACTAGACCATCTTCTTACACGATATACCAGAATAAACTCTAAATGAATTAAAGACTTAGCTATAAGACTTGAAAACATAAAAATCATAGAACACATAGGAAGTAAGATCATTGAACATTTTTCTTAGCAATATTTTTTTCTGATATATCTTTGCAACAAGAGAAATGAAAAGAAGAATAAACAAGTGTGACTACATCACACTAAAAAGCTTTTGTAGAGTGAAGGAAACCATCAACAAAATAAAAAGATAACCCTATTGAATGAGAGAACATATTCATCAATGATACATCTGGTAAGGGATTAATATCCAAAATTTATAAAGAACTTATATAACTGAAGACCCCCAAAAGCAAACAATCCTATTAAAAAATGGGCATAGGACTGAATAGAGACTTCTCCAAAGAGGACACACAGATGGCCAGTAGATGTATGAAAAGATGCTCAACATTAACATCAACATCACTAATCATCAGAGAGAAGCAAATTAAAACCACAATGAGATGTCACCTCACACCTGTCAGGATGGCTGTCATCAATAAATCAACAAACGACAAACGCTGGTGAGGATGTGGAGAAAAGGGACCCTAGTACACTGCTGCAGCGCATGCAGACTGGTGCAGCCACTGTGAAAGATAACATGGAGGATCCTCAAAAAATAAAAAATGGAACTGCCTCAAAACCCAGTGATTTCACTTCTGGGAATATATCTCAAGAAACCTGAAATACTAAATTGAAAGAATATATGCACTCCTGTGGTCATTGCAGCATTATTTACAATAACCAAGATCTGGAAGCAGCCCAAGTGCCCATCAATAGATGAGTGGATAAAAAAGCCGAGGTACATGTACACAATGGAATACTACTCGGCTGTAAAAAAAAAAGGAGAAAATCTTACCTTTTGTAACAGCATGGATGGACCTGTAGAGTATTACGCTAAGTGAAATAGCCATTCAAATAGCCATTTGGAGAAAGACAAATACTATATGATTTCCTTTATATGTGGAATCTAATGAACAAATTAAACCAACAAAATAAAAACAGATTCATAGATACAGAGAACAGACTGGCAGCTGTCAGATGAGAGGGAGGTTGGGGGATTGAGTGAAAAAGGTAAAGGAATTAAGCAAAAGACACACACACACACACACACCCAACACAGCATCTCATAGATACAGACAACACAATGGTGATTACCGGAGGGACAGGGTGGTGGGAGGAGATAGAGGGGTAAACAGTGCCAGAAGGGGAGTAGACTTTGGGGGGGTATATATATATATATATATATATATATATATACACACACACACACACACACACACATACATATATATGTATAGTGTTCCCCCAAAATGTGTGCACGCACTTTGAATAATTATAAAGGCAGTGTTTATTAAAATACATTTCATTTTCAAAAATGAGCTATCAACTGTTAAAGTGTGTCTACATTTTTGGGGACACAGTATTACAGAACTGTACACTTGAAACCCTTATAATTTTATTAATAAATATAATCTCAACAAATTCAATAAAAACTTTTAACAAGGAAAGAAGAATGCATCTGCCTGAACTCCCAGAAGGTGTGAATTCACAGATTTCAGAGGCTTTCGCTTTGCTTTAAGCCAGTGGTTCCCAACCTTTTCTTGGCCACGCCCCACTTAAGTGTTTCTGAAATCCTGATGCTCCTCTGTGACATATAATTCTTATTATTCAAAAAGTGAGCTCCTAATCACGTGGAGGAAGCCTAAAAGGCCATTAACTTGCTCTAAACAAGCTTCCAAAGAACATGGCATCCATGAAAGAGAAAAAACAAACAAACAAAAGGACAGGTGAAGTACTGAGGAAGAAACCACTAAGAAATTATTTTAAAAATTATACTACTATGAAATGATATGGAAAAATAGTAAATAAAGTTTCAAAACATGTAATAGTGAACTGAAATGCATACGTATGTCACAGTATATATTTATATATCGATACTATATCTGAGGCCTATAGAACCATAAGAAAGAAATCCACTGTTACTAACTCATTTTCCAATTGCCCCCCTTAAAAATCAAATTGTGCCCCTGTGCCCCAAGTTGGGAACCACTACCTTAAACTGTTCCTTTGCACAGACCCGAAAAAATGATCTAAAGGTTGTTCCTGAAATGAAAAGCTGAGGCAGGAAAAATGCTGAGGAAATTTATAGTCAGAAACATACAGGTTCACTACACGTCCCGGGTGTGGCAGAATTAATCTGCGAATATTAGGGAGGCCTATATTCAACTTAAAAAGGCAAAAACAATAAAAGCATGAGGCCATTCGTGCTTCTCACGAAAACAGTGCTTCACGTTTTACTGGGCTTTTTGCCAACAGTAAACAGTTTCTAGGCAAATCACTGTGATTTCCTTCGGTCGGAGCTGGGGGCCTGTTCTCGCC